CCAAAAGACTGGAAGAATGCTATAGTAAGTCCTATCTTCAAAACAGGTACGAGACATAAACCTGGAAACTATGGACACATAAGCCTAGCCAGCGTAGTTGTGAAAATTTTAAATGAGCTTATTTGGAAGCTGTTCAAGTATCTCGACAAAAAACATATTTTTATGAGAAGCGGTATGGCTTTAGAACAGGTTATTCATGTCTAACCTATTAGTAAGCCGTGAAAGTTGGTGCTCTCTTAAAGATCAAAAGTTGCCTACACGAGCCTACACTGACCAAGTTCCCCACAACCGGTTGTTATATAAGTTAAGTAATATCGAGATTAGAGGCACTTTGTTGAAATGGATAAAGCAATTGTTAGTTGGGCGCCAATAAATGATGCGGATGAGCGCAAATTTGTCTACATGGGGAACTGTGCTTAGCAGAGTGCCTCAAGGTACAGTTTTGAGGCCATTGTTGTTTCTCTTGTTTGTAAATGACCTTCATCGTCTCCTGTCGTCATCGGTTTTGTTATATACTCACGATTTCAAGATATGCAGAGCGATGTAAGGTAAAGTTGATAGTTAAGAACTCCAAAATGACCTAGAGAAACTATTTGGTTGGTCTAAAATTTGGCAATTGACGATAAATGCTTTCAAGTACATTATGATTCATATTAATCACCAAGGTACAGATACATGCACGGTGAACAGTAGTGAGCTACCTGTCTAAAGAGACAGTGAGCCGTTGGAAGAGGTTCAAAGAACCGCAACTAAGCTGATTCTCAAAATACCTGAGATCCTGTATGATGCTCGACCGGCTAAATTCAAACTATTTTGATTGTCATAAAGACAAAGCAGAGACGATTAAGTTACAATTTTAAAGTACCTAGTAGTAGACTTGCATCTGAGATGCCTTCATTTTTTTGTCTTCTAGAACAGAGAATTTACGAGTACACTCCAAAAAACATTCACAAGCCCAGAATAATTTACTTGTCAGCTGAATATCGACTTCCCATCAAATCATCAACAAATAGAATTACCTCAGCACGTGATTGAGGCTCCGTTTGCCAACTCTTTCAAAAAAACGTTTGATCAATTTGGGGGTTACGATTGCTAGCATCAATAGAGGCCACCTAGACAACTGTCCTTTTCAAACTGAAAGTGAAATTTCAATCTATGGATTGAATTTCCAAATTCTGATTACTTTGTGACATATCAGGGTGGTCAAAATGTAGTTCACCATGTTTACACTTTTATTGACTCTGTCAACTACAACAACTGAGGTCCTTGTGTTTAATCGTATTAAGTGTCAAAAATGAACATTACTACAGAGTTTTGATGCCAAATGTCTGTCGATTCATTTCTAATTCTTAGTAATCTCCCAGCTAATAATAAAAATCCAAATCATTCTGTTTTAATGTTGTTAAAGTAACTTAAGACGAGCACTTTGTTGATTAATGTGAATCAGTCACGTTTAAAATTCATCTGCAAAGTAATCACTATCTTATCTTTTACTCTCGATAGATACACCACAAGAATATTTTTATATATTGAAGAATACTTAAATTTCACTATTTGAGTGTGATTCATAAAGCATTCAGTATATGTTGGACGAGTTAACAAATAAAAAGAATAAACACTAGCTAGATACGAAAATGATCTATACAAATGTAAACAAAACCATATGAAGTGATTTGATATATTAGGAAAGTATCTTTTTTTAAAGAAAGCTTTAAGAGAAATACCGTTTATTACTTAGTAAACTATTAATAAACAAAAATTGATTAGCACATTTGTAACCTTTATGGAAAAAGGTGAAATGAGTAAGAAAAGAAGAATATTTATTATCAAGTTAATTGGTCACCATAAATCTCGTCGATTCGAACCATGAAAGTATCCTAATGTCTCGAGTCTTTGTTGTACACGTCTGTGTAATCGAATAGCCTGAAATAATTATTAAAATAAAATTAAAAACAAATCAATTACAGATATTTATGATAAACATCTAATTATGTTGTAATTTCAGTTATTGTCAACATGTATACAGTTTACAGTTGGTACGTAATGAAACTTAATAAAGTACACCTCAATATGTAGTCATCAACTTTAAAATATCTTGCTTATAATTTTTAAGATAAAGTGGTAAAAATGTGTTAAATTAGTATTTCTCTGAAACATTATACAATTCAATGTACCAGACTACACCATACATATTGAATTAACTGAATAACAGCTGATAAATAAAGATTGTCAACTTGAATATTGTTAATGCAAATATTATATAACAAGATTACAGGTTAATGACTCAATTTGTCAGTGATGAATTTTATTAAAATAAGCCTTGGAATTTCAGTATCAATTAAACACCCTAAAATTAGCTATCATATATGGTTAAATCGAAACACATCATGTAGTTTTCATACTTCTCTGAAGAGGAATAGTTTACACTGAGTCACGAAACGTCAGAAAAATTAAGAATTGTCTACTGATTATGATAGTACAAATATATCGTTTTTATTAATCAAAATCTATTTATTGCTTAATTTATTTGAAATTATCAAGTTAAACCTTGGTAATAACATTTAAGTAGAAAAATGTTATCAAATTCTTGGAGATTATAATCTTCAAGCATAAATTTACGGCTTCTTGAAAAAAAACTGATTGTGTCTTATTCAAGTATTATTCATAGATTGCATGTGAAGCCACTTCATTACGAAAACAGTTAATAATAATAATATTATTACTAGTATTATTACCATGACTCTGGTTTCCTTTATGTTTATACATTTCGATGTGTGAATTTTGCATTTTTCAACCGTGAATTGCATTAAATGTAGTTATTGTTTTACTATTTTATTTATTTAAACATATAAACAAAGGTACAAGAAGACACTAAATAGATATGCGTCACATAAATCATTCGATTTGTGTGAGGGCTGTGATACTACCCGGGTGCCCAAACCGAGGCGGGTGGTTTTCTTAGGGGGCCACACTCGGAGCCTTCCACCTAAAGGTCTGAACTACAAGGCACTATAGCATCGTCAGCAGATGCAATCCCATGGTAGTCGGTAACCAACGATTGGTTCATACACTATTTGTTTCACTTATGATACTAGAGCCCATGTGCACCATTGGTTTGGTATAAAGGTTTCCCGACCCCCTAGGTGGACTCACTGTGTCCACCAGCCCGGGTAAAGCTCCGGACATTCACTTTTTGTCCTCTCAATTTCGTAAACAATACCCCCGCCGCTAGAAGGCAGTGAGTAGGACTTTCCTGGCAGTTGTATGCACGTGGCCATGTGAGAGCGTTTCGAGAGTTAGAGCTGACTCTCCTCATTCTCGGCCGACCCAGGGCATTCAGGGGCAGTTTTTGTTTTAATGTATAACATTCTAAATATTTCAATGCAAAATCATGAGTTGCACTCATTCTATAAAGAGTATTATCTCCATTATATCACTGCAGTTTTTCTCTCATTTAGAAATGATCTTTTTAATCTACGTATAAAAACCGTAAATTAAATTTTCATTGTAGCGTCTTCTTTAACTTCTTATTCTTCTTAGTCAATGTCACCATTTATAAAATTTATTTTATGATAAAAACTGAACTCCATGAATTCCACATTAAAATTTCCTAAAAACGTTTGCTAATTCACTACTATGGTCAACACTATATATATATATATATATATATATATATATATACCAGAGGGGTTTTGTGGATATTATAGTAATTTTAATAGTTGAGATCATGAGTCAATTGAAACTAGACCACCATGAAAAACCCGGAAGCACTGAACGGCCGTTTCGTCCTATTGTAGGACTCCTCAGCAGTGCGTATCCACGATCCCGCCCCGCGAAATTCGAACCCAGGACCGATCGTTCTCGCGCGAGGACGCTTAACCTCTGGACCACTGAGCCAGTATCCAATATATATATATATATAATTAAAACAGAATTGTGTTATTCCTTGTTCAATAAAAAATTATCAACTATGATGTGTTTCAAAAATTTCGACTCATTTACTATCGTAGGCAAAATTTAGATCCAATCAACAGTCTAATATGTCTAGAATGACATTAGTTTAATTGAAAGTTTTTGTATTTTGTTAAACAAGTACTATAACATTTATAATTTTTAATTCTTTACAGTAATGTTCAAAATTTCAGGTTTATGTGAATATTGGATATATTATGTGATACTATTTGTTGTAATCTTAATTAAACAATCATTTGAACAATATATACTTCAGAGATAAGTAAATTTGCTATTGAATTTTTGGTAACTACCCTTTATCTACTTTTTATGGACTCATGGTAGAGTGGTTGATAGGACAGTACAATATTAGTTAGGTTGAATAAATTAAGCCTAAAAGTGTAAGAAACTGCTAAATTACATAATCTGATAATGAACTCGACATGTTTGTGGGTCATTATTATCAAAATAAATACAGCACCACAGTTTAATCACTATTTCTTTGAAACAATACTTCACAGGTTCAATAAACAAAAAATGAATCTACATTATCGGTAACAATGGCTCAGATGAATCAATTTTTTTCTTTTAGACTTCAACTTTAAAAGTTATCTTGTATTTGATATCCATTGAATTTATTCTTTTTTCATAAATTATGTTATCTACGCTTATATCTTTCAGCTACAATTCATACTAAAACTGTATCTCTTAACCTGACATTTATTGTGATAAGTTCTTCTAGTTGTGCTAATGGAGTGTAGAAACTTGAACAGATATTCGTGACTGTCAGGCTCAATGTTGCTGCTGACTGATCGATTGAATTCAGGCTTCTCATGAAATTGAGAGAGACGGTAAATGATATTTAATTGACGTGAATTTATAGTCAGCTTTGTATGAAAGATAAACAAATATGTATAACATTCGAAAGCTTACTTCATCCATACTTTTCTTGGCAGTTAACAATTCTGATCTAATAGCGTCATGAGTTGGAATAACCGGAAGTTTAAAACGTTCCAGCATTTCTTTTGTGTGTTCGTGAACTCGTTTTGTTAAACAAGCATCTCTCTCAAAACTACGAATCAAACCAAAAAACAAATTAAACGAACTTGTTTTTTAAAGAATTTAGTGATTGAGATTTTAAAAATCTTTTCTTTTAACTTGAAAACATTAATAATGAGTTAAATGAAATACTTTCTACACAACAATGTAAAAATCGTGGAAATCTGCAAATTGTGGGTAAAACTCCTTGAGAAACTCAAACTATTAGATGTCTCAAGCTACGATAGAAGAGATGTTGAATACTCTACGGCTTTTTATATTTTCTCTCTCATGCTGATCATTAATGAAAATCGCTCTAAAATTGATATATTTCGTGTCGATTATTTATTTACCGACCATGTAAAAGCTGTTGGTTATTAATCTCACATAACTCTTGAACAAAAGACATATGAAGAGCTTAACCAATCTAAACTCAAGTAATTTTTTGATTCAGTGGAGTTTGCACTTCTATTACGACTATAAAACTGTACAATTGATGTTGTAAAAAAAAAAACAGGGAAACGATTGATGCTACTTTCTAATAATTTAGTAGGCAGAGTATTTATATACAAGCTAACTATCGAAAACGGTATTCGCTGATGAAATTTGCTATCACGTTTTTAATTCATTGAATGAAGTACTATTTGTCTCTCTGTACAAATAAAAGGTTCGTCCATTCGAAGTTTGAAGGCTTTACCATTGACTGTACAAATACAATAGTCTAAGTCGCTAAATTTTTCTTCTGTATATCATAAATAAACATTTTCTGACTAAAGTTTCATCAGACACATAGAAAATCATATTTTCGTAAATATTTATCATTCCAAACAATCATATCTTGCATTCTGACATTAAGCTCCTCACGAGAAGCTTTTAAACTAAAATGGCTGATATCCACTGTATTATGATATCAAAATGACTTCCAAAAATTATGAAGGAAAATAAATATGATTTGAGAAAGATTGAACATTAAATTCAGCTATACTATAAGAAAATATATTCACCCAATCATTCATTTATGTTGGTTAACAATTTTCAATAAATTTCACAAAAGGTCAAAAGGATAGTTAGTGGGGAACTAGATCATAGAAAATAAAAGTCTACTTACTGATACTGTAAAAGTGAAAAAACATTATGTGTATACTACTTAATATCGATTATTGTGTTGAATTTTTATATCACTTTAAATTATATTAAGCTATCTTGATAATGCTTAAAGTACAACTTTTTTTTAATGAAATATCTATTGATTATCAGGTTGGGATTCCAAAAAAGATAAGAGAAACTAACTAATCGTTGGTCTGTAAGGTACTCAAAGAGAAACATACTTGTGCACTTTGAAAACAACAGAGAATCAAATCAATTAAACAATCTGTGTGGCATAAATCTGTCTAGGATGATGGGAAAATTGTTGGTGATGAACTCTTCGGCTTTTTACTCACTGAAAAACATTACTAATTCCTAGCACGGCTTCCTAAGAATTAGATCTCATAAGACCTGTCATGTTAACTTCATTAATGAGTCCTTTTACTCAAAATAGGCTAGACCAAATAGTAACGGTGGACAACTTACGTCTTATAGGGTAAGAAACCCTCTGATTGCTTAACTTAATTCATTTCTCATTCACTGACACCAAATAGTTAAAATAAACGCCTAGTTATCGGATCCTCTCTCAGTCACAATTGAAATAATACAAGGTAGTTTTTCAGGTCCTAAGCTCTTTATGAATTATATAAACGATACCTCCAATTCCTTATCTTTCACTAAGCCTTTTATGTATGCAGATGATCTCTAAGTAGCATATTTTTTCTCATCATGAATTAAACAATATACAAAACAATATAGGCTCAATAACGTCGCCCAATAGTGTTTAAAATGAAACTCGGAAACTGACATTGCCGAATGTGGATTGACTTACTTAGCTAATCCCTTCTTCACACTAGATCTTAACATAAACAGCAAGGTGTTGTCTAGGTTTACTATAACATGGATTTAGGGCCCAAGCATTCCCACAATTTGTCCTTCTCAGAACAGGTCTCTAAACGGACTTTCAATTCTTGATGATTTCTGGGTTGTATACTTCGCAACCTCGATGACAATAATTCACTCATTTTAATATACAAATTATGTGTTCTACCACTGTTAGAATATTGAACTTTTATTTTTAGCAGTGCTTGCATGGAAGATAAACTAAGATTGGAATTTCTCCAATGATGATTTACAATCCGCCTTAAAATACAAATCCCAAAGAGTTGGGCTTGAACTTTGGCCCTTGTAGGAGCAGCAACTTCTAATAAATTTAACCTTTCTCTTAAAAATATTTAATAAACTATCTGTTGCTTCCACTGATGAAATCCAATATGAAAAAGTTCTTATTTATAGGCACTCGTAATACTTATCATTGTAAGACTGTCTCATTCTAAATTTCCTTACCTAACGGACTATCTTACTAGTTAGTTTTTGAGACCCTAGAATAAATTGCCGCAATTCATTCACAAAATAAAGTCACAAGCATCATCTGTTTGTTCCATCGGTGTTTACCTATATTCTGAAACAGCCCTAAAAGTGCTTACATCTACCAATGGAATTGTTAGGACATTAAACGTCTAATCATTTTTATTACTGAGTGTGCTTATTAAACTTCTCTTCCTGTAGATATCTTGCAATTACCTTAACCCCTGTTAGTTTGACTAGTTTAAATAATATATACCTAAGATAGTAAATCATAAAACAACTTCTCACTTGCATAACGGCAGACCTATCACAGCATCTTATAGTGTTGTTATTCTGTGCTCTGTTTTTTGTCCAGTTGCAAAGGACTACAATTACTCTGTAGTGGCGCTGAAATTACTACTTGATGTACTATTCATGTAACAAAAGAATGTTCTAGTCCTTCTACTAACAATAACTGGCTCTCAACCGTTGCCTGAAATTACTATAATTCATAGGATAAGTGTCTTCTCAAAACAATTTATGGGTTCAATCTTTTCAAACAATTTAACCTTAAATTTCTTTACTTTACATGTAACATTGGTTTCTGTATCAACCCGATCATGCTTGTAAATTAACAATCATTCCAAATCATTTCCAAAACATAGTTTATTTATTCATTTATTATGATGAACAATTCACTAGTTTTCCGGAAAGTTGAAGTAACAAAAAATACCATTTTTTTATATCAGGAAATAATATAAAACAATGAGGTACTGATATCGACCCATAGTAAACTATGTACATTCATGATGTAAAGCTTACTTCCTCAGTAACCGTTCTTTCCAGTGAAATTTACGGCACATATTTTAGAAGCAGATTTGTATAATTTAGTCAAACATAAAAAAGCATAAATTGCATACCTTGCTAATTCCAATTGCAGCACAGTAGCTGAATCTAAATTAGCAGGACGTTCTTTTTTAATAGGTTGTTTACGTAAGCTGTTCAATTCACTACTGTCAATCATCTTTAAATGGTCTTTGTTTACATCAAGCGGTCCACTGACAATTCTTTGATCAGCTTCTGTCAAATATATAAAGTTAAATATATGATTAGACAAAACACCAGAAATGTTTAAGTATTAAGTTTCATCTATACAAAAAATAAATACTAGAAAGCATTTGGTATTATGTGGTCAGTGATCAATGATACCAGTTTATTAAGTTGTAGCCTTATCGTTACAAAAACTAGTTTTATCAGTTGAATGATAGAATGACAACAGCAATACCTTTTAAACAGTGTTAAAATACATTGCTTCGAAAGATTTACATTTAACGTATTCAAGAAACTTATACAAGGTTAGAAGAAAAACAAACTATTTGCAGATGTTTTATATCAGAATTCGTTTTTAATATGCAGCAGATTAGTGTTATCCAGATGCTTTTATCACGAAAACGCTGTTTAAAATAGTGGATTAGTAACAATCTGTTTACACACAAATGACTTGTCTTTGGTTGTTTAAAGCCTTTAGTTGAATTATCTATACACTACTGAAGGATATTCAGCATTGCTCATTATTAAAGGTGCTTTATTTGAAATACCGAATAAAACAGACTCGTCACAATATGTAACAGAGAAATGTAGTGGCTGAAAACTAAATGATTAAAAATACATTTACAGTATGATAAATATTTTTTCATCCACTTAAGAGAAAAATGGTCTTAACATCTTTACTTTCACAAACTAATTATCTGCTTCCTCGACAAGGTTATTCCATCACACAAACTAAACGTTAATATTAGTAACTTGCACTGAAAGTATCATTCTTTTAGATGTATTTTTCACATATACTCTTTTTAACATTAAAAATGTATGGGAATATAAACAGTATAATGAGGAGATTTACAATCAGATGTATTCTGAAACGCTGGTGAACAATAAACATCTTAAAAATATCATTTTATTCACAGCCACTAAAGAAGATGAATCAACGACATTTTGTTTGTTCACAAGAGAATCATTAACTCAATCGTTCAATAACAGTTACTTGTAGACAAACTTTAATTAAGAGTGAAATTTTATACTATATTTATACAAAGCTAAATATTAAGCGAAGAAAAGCAGTCTCTTCGATTCTTAACCAACAGAAGGCGTATACGAAATGTACAACTTAAAAGTAGGTTTAATTAAAATAGAGAGTTTTCTTGCATTCAAATTCTTCAACTAACAGAAGTGTAAATAGTTCATTGAAGAAAGAATTACCAGCGTTGATTAACAAAAGATTTAGTTTTATGAATTGAAATTCAAAAGTTAAAACAGTTAACAAGCTTAATAATACATATATTTATATCCCAATGAGTAGAAACCTATGTTTCTGACGTTTCGTGACTTAATGAAAACCTTTTCTTGAGAGTAAATAAAGAATCGAAATAAAATTAACACATGTTTAAATAGTACAAAGGAAACGAGTTTAACGAGGTTACTTAAGTTTGGAAAAAAATCATTTCAACTGTCTTGAACTCAAAGCTGGTAACGGCAGGTATAATCTCCAGAAAAAATACCATTCTCTATAAACATTTTCTTCTATTCCGTCAATCTCAAGTAGTACTTCATTTCCGGCAACCTATCTTTCGAACTGACGTCCTTCGTCAGTTAAGTGTAAATGTATTAGCCTGACAACATTATGATTCTCATCAACACTAATCAACTGATTGAAAAAAAGGTGAATGAAGTAATTGTCTATCCAGATATATCTCAGATTAATTCGCTAATGCACATTACCTCTTTTCTTGCATATCACGCTTAAAAACCTTTACAAAGTAGGAATAAATAGCTGAGACGAAAGCAATTTTGAGTAGTTGAAATGGTAAATATTTGACCATATTTTAAAAATCTATTAACAAAAACTTCACTGGTTCTAATAGATATCATCTAACAGATAGAAAAATAAGTGGCAATTAATTTAGTAGTTATGGAAGGATTTCATAGACACTGTTTTGTCAATCATTAGAAAAATGAACCCGAAATATACAACTGAATCATTTGATTTCAAGAATGAATCATAGCTCTATATAATACCTAATGGCTTTCAAATGGTCATATGAGGCTGGATAACATAGGAATCATTGATATAACCTTACTTTAAGTCACTCTGTTTCATGACTGCATCAAAAATAAGAGATCTAGCCATTCGATCATTAAATCCAAATACGTTCGTATAAACTTGGCGAGTCCATCTCTATACAAACAAAATACCCAACCATTGAAATTTTGGTAATTAAGTATAGCATAAGACATGTTTGAGATGAGAACTTTTCAACTACTCATTCAAGTCATATTGTATTCTCGAATAATATATCAACTCCATATATTATTATAACAAAGTTAGGAAACTTCCATTTGCACCAATATTATCAAGCAGTTTATAAAAGCACATTTACTTCCATCACCATAAAATTTGACAACAGAGTTACCTTCTTTTATTTCCTCATATGTTTTCTTTAAATATTCATACAGTTTCGTCTTTTGATATAAGGTATAATCATCACGCCAGTCTGAAATACAACTAGCGTTTCTTGAACCAAGAGAAAATAAAAAAACAATCATTTTCTTGAATAGAATGCCTTTATCAAGTATACGTTGAAGTGTTTAGCAAAATAATTTTGATTTATTTTAAAAAAATGATTTTATTGATATAACTAGAAGCCAAATCGAACTGAATTGCACAATCCGATGTTTCTCTACTGAAATCATTCTAATTGTTACGATGATGTTAATGGTTATTACTGATTCCTCTATATAAGATAGATGAATCTTTAGTTTTTATAAGAGAGTATTATCAATAAAGACACATTCCATTTGAAATATATACAATGACTCAACTTATCGCATATCACAACTGTAAGTTTGAAGAAAATCAACGAATCAACAGGAAACATTACAAGAGAAGTAGTGAAGAATGAGGTTAACTTCCGAAAATTCAAAAAGCTTCAGTAATAGCTACATTTGTCCATTCAACCTACTGTTTGACTATAATGAAAACGAATCTCGTTGTATGCATATCAAGGAAAAATTCTTGAAAGGAAGTTATGACTTATCACAGATTATGAGGAAAACTGGTATTGTAGATGATTCAGTAAATTTACCAATGCAATCTATATTTAATAAATTGGTAAAGTGATTAATCTAGATTGGAAAGTGAAGATAAAATTTAATACCAAACAATTGATTACAGTGGTAAAGTTCAAAAGTGTTACTTCTAATAATCTGTCCATAATAATGATAATTCATTTGTGTTGACTGTTTGAATCTTTACATTGATGTTTAGGATTGCATCTGATCGGTATATGGCATATGTGCATCCTGTAGGGATCTCTTCGATATTGCCAGCAGTTCACAAGCATTTTAAACAGAGATCGGTGATGGCTAACAGTGGAACCCAAAACATGCGTCACTTCGTCCCATTTTGGGGTTCGTCAGACGGATGTATCTGCATTACGGAGTTGATGTTCATTCCGTTTCCCAAACTCATTACCGATCACTGTAAACATCATTGCATTATCCAGTTAGTTGCTGAGTCCAGATATCCACTGGTTTGTGAAATGGAGTAAAGTTAAAATCATTTATTTTGGGTTTTTGAATTTTCCAATTGATGTCTAGGACTCTGTGCTCATCCAGCGAACATGTACCAAATAAGACGAAAGGCGCGTTCTGTATTCTACTGCTGGCCATCATTCATCTATGCTGATAGTTGTATTAATAATTTCTATTATAAGCCACTGGCAAAATTTGTAAACAAATAATGGGATAAATTCCTAGTCAATTTTGACAGTTGAAGGACCGTACTGAAACAATTGCAACATACACTTTGGTTGAACTTGCTTTCGATATTTTACTGTGATATTTAACTATTCATTCTAGTTCATAATATAATTGCACATCCTTTGCCAACATTTTGACTTTAATTGTGGTGACATTATAATTACACAGTTGACCATACTAATTCAGTGACTTTTTGAAAAACATGCCTATCTCGGTTGGGATAATAAAGTTCAACACTTGACTTTAGAACACTATTCATGGGCTAATCCACCAATTACCTAGTGATTATGCAAGATACCATTTACTGCCAAAAGATCACCAGCCACATCTGATCGAATAAAACGATAATTGTCTTTAGAAATTAATTACGGAAACGTCTACAGAACAATGACATGAGTAAACTGTAGAGTTAATTCCAACTGATATTCTTGCATCGTCCTTTGCTTCAAGCACGGTCAACAGGGCTCAACGCCAACGGACCAGCAAAAATGAACAAACAAGTGCCGAAAATAGAACTTCAGTATTGATAAATGTACGTTAAAAGTCAGAAAACTTCAAATTTGTTAACAAAACCAACCTAATTAACCGATAGGATTCTACAAATTTGCATCATTCGTACCATTCACCACACATCAAGTATTCGATCGAATTAATTTTCATAGGTTCAATGCATAAATATCTGAATGTCGAGTATGCCTATGTTATCATACTAGGAAAAATCATATCCGCTACAAAATATCCCTCACGTTTACGTAAATATACAGTTATAAAGTATATACTTGACAGCTTAATTTTTCAAGGTCCCTCTCTTGAAGAAATATATGTCTTTCACTCTTTGTTAACATAACTATACTCAATAGATTTAAAGCCAATTTATGCTGCAATCATATAAAATATATTAGATATGTCCTCAATGATTTATTTTTGTCATTATGATTGAAATAAAAATAACGGTCTCAAAATGTTTGATAATCTTCGATAGGAAAAAATAACAGCTAATGATTTCTATTGAGATAAATTGTTGCATATAAAAACTTATTAAATACACTCTGATTGGTTGCTTCTACAAGCACCGGTGTTTTTCTACCTTAATCTCACGTTGACAAACTGCTACTCTAAGCAAATTGAAAACATTTATTCGATTGAAAAATTATTAAGAACATCTTACTTCACCTACACTGTATTTTTTTATTGTAACAATGACCTACTTCATGCGCTGTATTTGTGATGCCTGCTTCAACATTAACTCCTTACGAGCTTTGCGTTTTTGTTCTCGCTTATAAATCAGACGTATTTTTTCTAAAGTCGGTTGTGGTGGGTCTTCCAACAAAAAAGCTTTATGCCGGCTAGTTTGACTAGGTAGTTTACATAACAATGAACTGAAAAACAAAATTAAGACAATACAAATGTCAATATAATTAGAACTGATGATAACATTATTCTTAAATTCAAAAAATCAAGATCTTATTTAGTAAGAAACACGCTTTACGATGCACAAAATGCTGGACAAGAATAGTTAATTAAAAAACGGAGAAAACAGAAGTGTATGTGAAAAAAAATTATAGAATATCTAAATCCTAAGATAAGTATATTAAGTCTTTCCTTATAGAATTTACAGTATCTACAGCCGAGTGAACGTTTTTATAACCCATTGTGGTTAAAAACGATAAACTTGTTGTTTGTATTGTGAATTGAGGCCGTAATATTTATATGTCTTTATCAAGTTATCTGCGGGGACTTGAACAAAGAACATCACTTAGACTTCCTAAGATACCTTGAATTTAAAATCGATTATCAGTTTTTAAAACCATGTCAAAAAATAAAATTTATCCCATAGGAGTTACTTAGGGTGATATTTGCCAACGCGAGTGATCGATAAATTTAAGTACGGTAGTTTATTTGGATTGATTTATCATTGTGTGCAAACCGATGTCATATTTGTATGTATCATTACCATGGTTTGATTTGATAATTCCAAATAAATTGAGCATTGGGTAGATTGTTACAAATATATTATTTATTTACGATGTCATATTTGTTCGGCTCTAACTTATTGACAACAAAACACAGCGCACACAATGTTAGGTTACTTGACCTGGTGGCCATACTGCAGCTTGGTCAATAGAATTCAACTACCGTTTAGGACCAGAAAAATCAGACAGCAATTAAAACCTGGCGATCAATCGGTGTAAATATTTCATTCCTACAGGAGATCAGTTGTTATCTGAACAGGTCAGCGGTATCCGTTATACTGTGGCATGGGATACGTTTGGTTTAAATCCAAGATAGGAATCGACCCACTTGAGAGTGAAGGTACATTTTACCAAAACGTATCAACTAACAAGAGACTTCTGTAAACGATTTTCTGTAAACTACATTCAACCACTTAAAATAACTAGCTGTTTATAGCCCGGTAGAATGACTTCGGTAGAATTGAGTTCGTAGGTTGGTTGGTTTAGTCTTGAACCACATGTTGTCTTTCCGGACAATACTTACAATACAAACCTCAGATAAATTTCAGCTATTATGAATAACAATAAGGTCAATAATCACGTCAAGTGAAATAATTACTAAAATAAACATGCAAAAACTGATAGGAAATGGGTCAACAACAACCAAACAAACCTAAAGATGACATGATAAACCGTTAGGATATGTATAAAAATTTAAGTAGCCTACTTCATTCAGAAACTTGTACTGAGTGCATTGTCGAGAAAGACCATAAAGGTTTGAGGAACAAACCATCCAACTTAGAAAACACAACTTCCCTAAAAGGACGCTGTTTTTTATTCATTTTTTGACAGAAATTGATTTTCGTCATAAATTAGTCAATTTATCGAAAACTGAAAAATCGTTTCTGAAATCTGTTTATTTATTTAGACCGAACTTCATGATATTGCAAAATGTTAACCTATTTTTACTCGCAGGAACTCAACAGTCATGATTCTAGTTAATCAGACTTTTCAGTATTCAATTTCCATTGTTTTCGTTGGTTCATGTTTGACTTATTGCAATAATACATTTATTCACTAATTAAAATGATAAACTCACTTATCTGACTTTGACGTGTAACGTTTAGACTTTAAATAATTACTTTGAATTTTTCTGTAAATTTTTGATTTACTGGAAACCCGTGAGTAGGATGAGCCATTAATTTTCTGTCCGTAGTATTGAACTGAATCATTATCTGCATTTGTTATACTTCCCAAGACACTTAATAATTCTGACCGTCCGATAACCGGATTGAAAGTTTTTATCTTCTTTGACTCATCTGATTTTTGACTGGTGCTTTCATTTTGTAAAATACCAGAAAATAAGACATCAGCAGAATAGGATCGCTCGAACCTAGGAAAAATCGGACTACTGTGATTTAGATCCATGGAATTATGCATGCCTCTCACAGAGTGAAGCATTTGTTTATCTCTGAGGTTTACACTATTCAGAGAATTTATTAAATTAGTAAATTCAGTGTTATTATGGTTGATACCGTCCGTAACAAGTTGTTCTGTTTGTAGAACATTGATATGGCTGTCATTTTTCAAATTCTCAGTATTCTTTGTACTATATTCAAGTGAACTAGAGCCTGGAAAATAAATCACAATCCGGTAGAAATATGACCATGTTAGGATAAATGGAGGGGAAAGTCTGTAAAATAATGTTTCTGTACCTTATGATTATAGGCGATTAAAAACTGAAATAGAAACATTATTGACGATGAACACTTAAACCCAGTTTGATAATTATAGTGCATGACCTAATTTTCCTAAAAATGTCTAACATTTCGTACTTCACTAAAGTTTGCTGTATATTATTTGTAGTAGTGCCATGAATTGCATCTCATGTAGGTTTAATCATCAATATCCTAAAAAGTTAACTCATAAGCTGAGAGACAAACGGTCTTATAGATGTAAAATTTGGTATCAATACTTCATATAAACCAGAAAATATTATGACTATTTACTGACTTGTTTACTTGACTCATTCGACTTAGATAAAATGCTAGGGATAGAAAATGCTTTTAGAGAAATCTCTGAAAACATAAGATCATAACAATATGATATAGAAGCAAATTCAATACAAAGAGCAAGTATTATAAATTGAGATATATCATAGAAGTTAAGCATACCACCCTTAACTGTGTTAGTGCAATCAACATTTTCGAAAACACCGGAAGAAACGAACACCACATAGAAGGTTGTAAAACGTTTTAGGACGAAGATCAAAGGTGTAGGACGAAACGTTGTAGTTCAGAAAAAGCACCAAACACTTCTATTTTTTGGAAACAGAAACAGATCATTGTAAAAACTGTGCTTATGTTCAACAATAAACATACCTAACAGGATAAATTTCTCAACTTAACACCAAACGATGCATCAGTTTTACCTGTTACTCGACTACTCTTTTACAAAAAGCAACTTACCCCTAACACCAATGATAGAAAATCTGTGAGAAAAATTTGTATGAAAGTGATAGTCATAATTATATGATCTTCTCCAGTAAACTGAGTCATATTTGTCCGCTCTTTTTAAAAATAGCCTGTCCATTGAGAGACCGAAAAAACTAACATACATATCAAGTCTGTTTCAACAATAATTAATGCCACAATCTGTTCAATGAATTATTTAAATGTTCCTTTTTTAAAGAAGGTAATTTTGATAACCAATATTTTGTTTTTAAGTTCATCTGAAGATGACATAAGCGATGATATTTACATCGGCCGAACGTCGATGTGGATTTATTAAGTAATTTTATCACAGAAGCATGTGAATTCAGAACATCTGTATTCTATTGTCGTTCCTTAAAACTAGCGATCCGTACGGAAAATGCTATATACGTAAATACTTCACAGCAATGTAAAGTCTGCCTAATAGCAAATGTGACGAGGTGTTTAAAAAATAATGTGATGATATCATGTATTCACATACCTTGAAGCACCAAGTAAAATTAATATCACCCAGTGAAAGCTTACCTTCGTCAGTTGTTGTATTCACCAAGCTCAAGTAACATTCAAGTAAAAACTTCACAATGTGTTTCGTCCCCCTACTCAATACTTCATTAGGGGGAAATTCAATTGGATTGTTTCTGTGATGTAGAACAGACAATTTTTTTAACAGACCTAAAAGATTCACCACAATGTTACTATTTACCAAGTTCAAGGGGAAGAATTTTGATTTTGTTATTATCTAAAAGTAATGTCTGAAGTTCCTCTAGGTGTTTGATTTCAGGTGGAATACTTGTTAAGCTATTGTCACGTAAGTCTAGCCAACGAAGTTGACTGAGAGCTCTCAGTATGTTAGGCGATATAGATTTAAGACAGTTATCCGAAATATATAATTTCTACATCACGTTTCATTAGCTTGTGTGAATCATTACCAACCTGTAGATTTGGTAAGTCAGAAATTCTATCAGGAATTTCTTTTAGGTTACGGTTCTTGAGGTCAAGAGAACAAGAACGTGTGATCAGTGCGTCTGATATAATCCCAGCAACAAAAGACTCCTCTTCCGTCTCTTCACTTTTACAATTTTCATCTGATTGTAAAACTTCTACATCCATTTATTTAGAAAACATGTGAGGACATTTAAGAATTTGCATAATTGGGGACCATAGAGTACGAAATGACTAGTTGACTTAAACAAAATGACGTGCATTTTCATTTTCTATTCTACTGTGATTTAAACTATATACAGTTATCTCCATATTTTATGGGTACCGTAAGTTGTATACTTTGGTAAAGTCCACTTGACGTGACTATGAATATGTTCAATGATTCAAATTTATACTTATAATTTGAGAACAGGTAGTCACATGACAGCTTAACTCTAGAACTGATACCTGTATGTCAAAAGGTGAATAAGATCTCTTGCTTACACAGCATTTTGACTTAATCGTTAGATCTTTTAACCAGTAACTTGAGTTGAGAGGACATTTCGCGATTTATTCTTACTATAGCGTTAGACGTGTGTTAGATCTTGTATTAACTTTGGTACTAAGAGCTTTCCCATCCCATGTAAGCTCATGTTTGACTGGCATTTGGATGAATATTCTCCATACAGTAGTTTCTGATGTCATAAAGTTAACACATTTTCAGCCAAAATGAATGAACAATTTTGATTTTACTAGTATGCATTCGCGATGCACATTAGAACAGGCCAGTGGTTTGTCCACCGAAGATGTAATGCGACCAGGGACATGACTTATAGACTGGTCTAACTCCTGCATGTGAATGTCATTAGGAAATAGATCAGTTAGTATGTAGCGTTATATAATGTGTTATTTAAACTTCCAGAAGCATAAAAAGCAAGGGTATAGTCTAAATCTTGTGAAGATATTAAAAGTCATTCATAAAATCACTCACTTTGCAATCTATAGGATTGCAGGGTTATAAACGTGAAAGAAACAGAAAATTGTGTGGTTGTTAGCTGTACAGAAATATGTTCTGAGGCTCATTTGAACGACTTAACTTATCATGCATTTGATAACACACTCTGAAATGTATATGCTTCACTGTTGTTGTGAGTGCTTATAGCCATATCAGCTGGTCCCCAAGAAAAGTATGTGCAAGTTACCCATGGCTTCATCGGGCCAATTGTGATTTGAGTGGCGAGCTATGTCAAAAACATTGTGTTTCACCCAACTGTTGGTTGCTAAATTTGCTGTGTATTTAATAGCAGGCCGATTTAATGGAATTGTCCCTAAAGATGCTAAATGCAAATGGCGACCGACTAGCTGATATGCAAAGACATTTACGAAGAAACAGGTTCAAGCTACAGGAGTACATTTAAGGAAGAGCGGATGTCTTAAAATCTGTAAAATAAAGAACACCCACTCTGAAATTAACGAGGCAACATTTATTATTAGCTGTACTAATATAGTTTTAATACGGAAAGTACATGAAATTTTTACAGACATGATCCATAATGTACAAAATGGATATATAGCTACTAACCAGATAGAGCTATAAAATATGTGAAAATATGTAACAGAATATTGAAGCAGATACATTAAAAGTTAATTTATAGGTTTGTGTTAATAATGGGCTTTGAATTTACTGTTGTTATTATCTGCTCAAAGATGCTAACTTGCACAGATCGTAAACTTGACAAAAGCAAATATGACCCAATTTTCACAATTTTGAGTTACTATCTTTGTGCTGAAAAAGTAAGATAACAAGTTGTTAACAGAACCTGGTTGTTAGCGGTGCGACAAATCAGGTTGTTTGATTGTTAGATGGAACTGAAGCTCAAAATTAAATCATCGCTGAAGAAACTTCAGACGTACCATAAGAACTAAATGAAGGTGTGGAGAATCATAACCGTGAAACAGGGTTTAAATGATGGGCGTGAGGATGAAGAGCAAAACGGAATAAGTGTTTGTTAACTTAGGAAACTAAAGTGAAATTTTCACTATAGTCTATCTCTATATATTGCTCTTCTTTGTTGTTGATACCGAATGCCAACCGTTTAATCTGCGCTTAAGCGCAGACTTGATGGAATAGTGAAACCGATATACTGCAGAAAACATCAATCTAAGAAGCGTTAAACATGGGAGAGTAATATCAACATTATCGAGTACTTGAATAATCATCAGTTACAAAATACTCAAGACAAATGAATTAATGATATGAGTTGCGTGGGATTTGTGGGTAACTTATGATGAGACACAATCCACAAGGTTTTCGAGCACTTCTTTAATCCTAACTGGGACCTATTGACAAGGATGATGTCCTTTGTTGTTTAGACTCTCTTCAAAGTAGAAAGTTTCGTTCGAGTGAGTGAAGGTACAGTGCAAGAAAGTAGGTGCAGAGGAAAATCATGATGAGGTCAATGAAGCTGGTAAAGTAAAAGGAGCATAGTGAAGTGAAAAAGAATGACAACACTTTGAAATCGAAGGCGGTCACATAGGATTTAGGTGGAATAATAATTTTCTTTCGTCGTTTACAGACAATCAAATGCAACCGTCCCAGTGTACTTTGATTAACTGAAATAAATATTCCACATACTAATAAGGAATTGTGTTTAGTAAACCATGAAATTCATTGGCTAATTCACTGACACGAAGCATTTTCTGCAGGCAGTTTTGGCCACCCGGAACTGTTTAATAAAGATGCCGGGTTCAACTAATAGCAATAATTATGTATTTGCAAATAACATTGTTACACGTATTAGATCAACATCATTTAATCAAACATGCGGGATTTGCGAAGTTATTTCTAATTTTATGTGGCGGAACAGCTTTTTACATTTATAGTTGTCATGACACAATGGTTAGAAGACACTTTGTATTGTTTGCGACCTTGATAAGTACATACTATGGGTTTGTGTTCAAGGCGTAAGAAGAAGCCTCATGGCTCTGCATAGCAAGGGAGCAGCAATTCAATTGAATTTTAAAATTGAACAGTCCTCGATGGTCTTTAGTGAAACAGACAAAAGCGTGGCGAATCAGTAATCGAAACTCAAACTGGTTGCTATTGCTAGAATTAAATGTAATTAAAATGTCTTCAGGTGGAGGAATACGGCAGTAAAGAACAATGCGTCGTAAAGTGTAACAAGATGAAAAGGATCTGAATAATAGAGGTAAAATCGAAGTTGGGAATGGGAAGACTGTTCACTAAAACTCGAAGTGCACTGAAAAGGAGCAGAAGGTTTAGGATCGCTAATAACCTTATCATTTACTATCTATTGTTTTTTTATTACCCTATTTTCACTGAATTCCGGTCGTTTTATCATAGATTAATTGTATGAGCTGGGATTATAGGTTATCTTAGGAGATTAGCAGAGCAGGTGTAAAACAAAAGATATGTGTATAAGAAACAGCAATAATAAGAGAACGAAATCAGTATTGTTGGTTGGCTGTCTCATCCTTAACCATAAACAACCTGAAACAAACAAATTTTTCGGCCTCACAAGAATGAAATAACTGTGTGGATCACCAGCGTAGATGATCTATGTCGAAATGATCGGAGACCTACTCGAATTAGACGGGAATGGTGTGACGAACCAACTAACGTTGAAGTCACACCTCGTGGTCAGCACCTTACGTGGACTAACCCATTGACGTATCAAGGTGCTATAGATGCTTTAAAGACTGTACGACACAAAGGACGTTATTACAGAAATGTATTAGGTAAAGTAGATACGAGTGAAAGTAAGACCACTACCGTATGAGCCAGTCCATGGCGTACGAATAACTGATACGCGTTGTCTGTCCTTGACTTTGACGAGGGTCGATGATTTGTTCGGTAGTAAGTGACCCAGCTGCAAGATGACTTGGCTTGGGCTCAGCTGAACTTCACTAGTCCTACAACTGCCTTCACCATTAGCACTTGATGGCCAATAAATTCAAGTTTACTAACGTAAAGGGAACCAAAAAGTCCTCAACGCAATCAAGACTGGACAGAATAGGATTCATTTCTCGTGATTCAGCTCAATTTATGAAATCCTTTGTCCATTCTTCTCCATACTTTTGGCTTTCTTTCTTTATCTTATTGAAATACCCTTGTTTAGAGATTGATCGAATAAAAGTTAATAAGTTTAAGTAGTCATACGTGTATTATTTCATCATTAGTGGCTGTTCTTCACCAGTCATGAACATTGTTGTTTCTGCATCTCGTTTTTTCTTTCTCTCCCACTTTTTCAACATTCTTGTGATATACAACCAAAAACCCATATATGGAGCACGTGATTTCGGATTACGCCTCTAATAATACCACCAATATTTCAGACGGACTTATGGTTGTGATTACTGGAAGCCTGTTATTATTGTTATCTGAGATTAATACCAAGAAATAACTGATAAGAAGTTAAAGCCAACATTTTTAAACGACTGATTATGTATTTGCCCGATTACTTCTCGTTGTAAACAGCCATGTATTGTACCTAAATTCATCCTCATTCATTAGCTGTTCATCGTAACGTGACCGTCATAAAGCGCTTCAACCGTTACAGTGAACACCAGGACCTGAATAACATAATTCATATTCTAATGTACGAAACTTCAGCCCTCTTATTCTCTGAATAGGTTGTCTTATAACATAACCTAATTGAGTAACTTCTTGCAGTAAATTCTGTAACATTTGCAACGATATAATCTTGCCTGTAAACTGAGACACGTCAAAGGACATATTTTTATTTCAAAACTAATTATCATCGTAGCGACCGAACAGCCAATATTCGGTTGGAACAACGGACTGACGAACCCCAAATTTATTCGATTAGATCAGACCAAGTTCCTCTGTATAGCTCACAACGCGTCTTTGAAATACTCGTATTATATTATATCAAAACACAAACTGTGCTCAGTATAAACGGTTCTGATTAAGAAAACAGAACAAATTACATCAAAAATACAAAATACCCCAAACGGTACAGCCTGTGCTATACAGTCAGAAGTTTCTCTAACGCAAAGTAGCGCGCTAAACAATGAAAGAGACAGTTAATACTAAAGGGTTTGATACCTGAGAATCAATACAAATATTCCCAATAAGATGGGATCAAATATCTATATGCAGGGACTGCAGCAATTCTCCCAAGCAGACAGTCAGAAGGTTAACAGTCACAAACTGAACCACACCGTGACCTTGAGCTTAGTCAAACACAACCTTACTGTCAATGGTCTGGCAACGTGCAATAGAAAATTAGGTAACAAAAATAAGTCTTTAATCAAAATCACATAATAAAGGTTCAAACGGGGAAGACTGAAGAACAAAAGACATGGTTAAACGAGATCGAAACAAAGGTTGAAATACACA